TTTGGCAAAATGGCTATCAATTGAAGAGAGTAGGCTATGGGTAAAACGTGGCTATCTATTGAAAGGGAAGGTTTTGGATAAAACATGGCTAGGTTAAGAGAGAGAAAATAGGGGAGAGATAAAATAGGAAAGTCCATTGTTTATCTTCTTCTTTTTTAATTTTTTTAGTCTATTTAACGGGAGATTTCCCTTCATTGTAAATGAGTGAATGAGTTAATAAAATTTGGTCTCGTGAAGAGATTATTTTGGGGTGGATTCCCTTGCAGACCTTGAAAGAGGGTATATTCTATCAACTTTCTTCTTTTTATTTTTCTCGTGTTATTTTCTCCCTGCATCAATTTATCTCACAAAGTGATAATTGGGAATTCAAATTAATTCATAACTTGATCAAATGTTACTAGATAACAAGAAAATCACCATGATAATCTTTTTAAAGCATATTCTTTAATCATATAATAATTCAACAGAGGGTTGTTCCTACTGCTAATTCCGTTCGCTTCGCTCATTCCTTCAAGAAGTCGGTGATACAATAAAACGGCTTCGTGAATCAGTTATAAGATAAGAATTTCTATGTTAGTAGGAACTATTTAGAGTTTATCACCCCTCCTTCAATCGTGAACTACGTTCACTACTCACAGAAGGCAAGAGACAACCTTCAGAAAGACTACTTTTTTAGAATTCGCAGCTCTTTCTCTTGACTAGAGAACGAAGGGTTAGGTTCTATACTACTCGCCGTAATTCTCTCTGAAAGTCACCCGAATATTTCTTTACTAAAAGAAAAATGCGCCACTTGAAAAGAAGGCGTTCCATAGAGAGGGATGTGTGGCCCCTAGTGGGGTCCATGTGAAACCCCTTAGTAGGGCCCACAAGTGCAGGGCTGGGTCCTTAGCCCCTTCCCTCCAATAAAATGCAAAATTTCAAAATGCCCCTGCAATTCTAAAATTTCAGAATGCCCCTGCAATTCTAAAATTTCAGAAATACCCTTATAGGGTTTTTACACATTTAAAATTCGTTTTTAAAATTCTGAAAAAGTCCCAAAATTCACAGTAGCACATTTGTAGTTGAAAATTAATATTTTTAGAGTTCCACAAAAATCCAAATACATAGAAATACAACTTAGAAGTGGATCGGTACCTAATGGGTCAAAAACAAATAAATATTAAGGCACTCTACCCTTGCCAAGATCCATTAATCACTACTGTCTTCTCAAACTAACCCACAGGACGCATGACCCACAGTCAAGTGTAGAGGCTTTTTATTAACCAATTAAAGTTAGCCAATAAAACAATGGAACTACAGTTCTAGTATGTGGATTACATGTTCCCCCTAAGAGCAAGTCAAATGCACATACAGTGCAAGGACCGCTCTTTTTATGTATATGTATACGTGTTCTTCTATATAAGGTTGCATTCCAAAATGTAGTTGTCATATGTACATTTTGTGAGGAAGTTTTATTTAAGATTTGGCTCTCTCTCTCATAGGCCCGTCCTCTGCGCATAGGAGAATACACAATTCTCCTAGCCTACAAACAATATCCCTGGGCATCTCTCTAACCTCTACAAGGGATGACCCACGGTAACGATTTTTGACATAACCCGGGCCATAGACCGTTCAACCCTAGGTCAGTCAACCACAATGCACTCCCAATAAAGTGCACAAATTTCTATGAATGATTCAATTTATAAGTTCTCTAAGCCTTTAAATGCCACAAATCCCAACAATATTGCCCAAAAATATAGTGAAATTTTCAATATTAAACTGAATATTTCAACAGATATTGAAGATAGAAGCATAAGCATCCCTGACTAATAGATCAATACAAAAAAATTCACAATAAAACAGGTTATGTTTTAGCATTGCCTACCTTGTTTCCAAGGTCCTCATTTTCTTCTATGTGAAGGTAAAATGTAGTCAAAAGAGTTTTTAGTACAGAAAATTACACATATATCTGTTATTTTAAGCGTTATTACAATTTTACCGAAATTTTCACTTATTACATTCAACATTTCGGATATTACATGTATACCCGTTCTTAGGTGCCCCGAAATTGCCCTATTTTTTGATCTTCAGGATCCAAGAAATAAAAGAAAAAAAGAAACGCTTCGGAATTTCAACGTCCGAGTTGTCCTATTTTCGGATTTGCATAATCCAAAATTAAAAAATAATTTCAAACCATCATAGTCCAAAAACGATTTTGGACCTTAAAGGTCTAAAATTGTGGATGGACAACAATAAACGTCAAGTTTTCGAATTTTGAAAAGAGCAAACATGTCGAGTAAACATCGACGTGAAAAATTTTGACAAGAGATTTTGAGATGTTGACTCTTGAAAAAGTTTGTGCTGACGATTTTATTTTTATTGGCTGGGAATATAATAAGTAAAAAATATATCATAAGAACATGAGGTGACTAGTCATCTACCAATAATAACTTCCACACGGTTTTAAAAGTTATGCAAATTATTCAAGTCTGTTAGATAAAATATTTGTTGAGTGATTTTACACATTTTATTGGTTGAGTTTCATTTGTCAATTTTTTATTTCGGAAAAATAAAAATGGGAATTCGAAATTGTAGTTTTTTTACTTTGTAATTTTGGATTTTGACAATCTGAAAATTGAAAATTTTTGAATTTTTAAAATCCGAAAAATCAATTATAGTTCATGCAAAAATAAATTTCAGATCTTGAAAATCTAAAAAGGGCAATTTGGTCATTTTTTTAAAAAATGATAAATGCTGTATTAGCAGATATAAAACGGGTAGAGTAGTAATAACATAAAATTTTAGGTGAAATTGTAATAATGCTTAAAATAATGGATATATGTGTAATTTTGCGTTTTTAGTACTATGAAATTTCATATTGATTGCATATGCAAACTAGTAAGATTGTCATAAGATGCTTCTTGATCTTATAAACTCATTGCATTGCTTGTATATGATTCTTTACATTCATTAAAGCCTCTTGAAGAAATGTGGAAGGGAAACTGAAAAGCAAGAATACATTATAAAGAACATTTCTCTCGTGAACTGCTTGCTGGAGATAATGTATTTGTCCATTAATTCAAGTTCGGTGTTTTTATACAAGTTTATGTTGTAAAGAATTACAATGTATCAAACTAATTTTGGGTATATTGTTCCAGTATTCGTATATGATACCCAATGCCCTTGGTAACAGTGTTTGAGCTGATCATTTATCCCTCTATGTTGTACACATTCTCTATATCATGCATCATGTTTTGATCAAAATGTGGTCTTTGCTATTTTTTTAGTCAGATTGTGGTAGCTGGACTCATCCTGTCATGAGTACCTTTTTAAATAGGGCCTCACTGACACTATCCTCAATTTGTCCAGGCACTTCTAGCATTTTATGTTATAGATGACCTGCACATGACTCAATCTTCAAAGGCTTCGGTAAGCTTATAATATAATTAAGTTAAGGTTCACCTAATAATTTAATCATAATAAGTTTCCTGTGACTTGTTTCCATTTTCTCATCTTTTTGGTTGGATTTCTGTGGTTTTAAGATTAAGAATCAAATGCCTCAATTTTATCTGGAGTGAGTTGAGCATGAAAACAATGTTGGGTGCAGATCCCTGCTATTATCTATATTTGCAGTTTCATGGCATCTGTCACTTTGCAGGTATAACTTTTTGTATCTACAAGGAATATATGGACCTGTAACCCTCAAGACTTTTTCAAAAGAGAAACTAAAAACTATGCCTATAATATGTAGGAGTTTGAATGGACTGGACGCCGTCTGAAATCAATTTTTACTGCTGGAGCTATTCTTTGGATATTTTCTGGTGCTGGAATCCTCATTCTTCCCAGCAAGATGTGTAACTTTCTGTATATTATAGCAATCTTCATAGGAGTTTCCAATGCTTTTATGACGGTATGGTGCTAGATTCCTCAACTTGATCTCCATCTTTATCTTTTTTATACTAGGCTTTATCTTTCTCAACAGTTATATCTTCTTCCAATTGCGTAACTCTGTGCTGGGGGTGTGTTTATCAAGAAGGGATGATAAGGATAGTTTATGTTGCAGGACAAATGTAAATGTGATGCCATACGAATTCGTGATGATAAAAAATGACATGGTGTGATCAGAGAAACACAGGTCACATGCATATATGATTGGCTGGAACTTGGAACTGTTCAACCTAGACATGTTGTAGCAACAATATATTTTGCAATAAGTTCTTTCTGAAACTGAGGATATTTATAGCAATGTTCATACTGATATGAACATATCCATCTCAATTGCTTGCAAACCAATAATCTTAACACACATGCAGTCTTTCGAGTCTTTAGCTGGTTCTAGATTGTCATGTGACACACCTTCAGGCCAACAACAGGGAAGAATTGCAAAATTGAGTGACCTAGAAGCCAGCTTCCATGATGGAACAGGGCAAAATAAATATTTTTAACTGCACACTCCATCAAGCATGAGTTTGGTCTTTTCGATATAGGCAATTATCATCCATTCTTAAATCAAGGCATCAACCCTAAATCCCTCAGGTTCCTTTCCAATTAGGACTAAGAAAATCACACATCTCTAGGGCATAAGAAATCAGCGCATAACTTTTGCCTTTCTTTCCAGATACCTCGGAATATTGCCAGAGGACTTCACCTGAATAAAAGGCATGTAAGAACTTCCCCTGAATAAAAGGCCTCCTGTAGGTACGCATTCAATTTTGGTTTCCCATGTCAAATAGGTTCAATAAGTATTTCCATGCCTTATATCACTAGGGCATTGTACAAGGAGATGCTCCACCGTCCCTTCAGCCTACCTATGCATTAAGTGTATCTTTTAAGTCTGAATCCCATTTTGTGATGCATATTTGTGAAAGGGACCAAAATGGCCAATTCTAGGCAATTCAAGCATATATTAATGCTAAGAGGAAACAATATCCTATAGTGACATAGCTAAACATCCTTCTAATGCATAGATGCCATGTTCATGCCTTGAATAACGTGAAGCGTTTGAAAGTCATATGACTCATATCACGAAGGCAGTTTACCAATATTGTACCATGTAGAGATACTATGGCATTTTTTTTTAGGACTTGTAACATGTGTCAAGGTTTAGCCTGGTTCACATGTTACAAAACCAACATGTTTATGGACCTTGTACGCCCCCCCCCCACCCACATGGCCAAGTGGAAGGCTACCTCTGTAATGAGTGAAAGGTGTGGCTATGTGGAACTCGAGGGATTAAATTCAAAAAAATTTATTTTGCCTTTATTCCAAATACCTGAATTCCACTTACACGGGCCATAATATGTTGCCGTAAATTAAAATAGCATCCTAGATACAATCTAGGATCTTTATTTTTACTACCGAGAGAAATAGAAACTATCTAGGAGCTTAAAACAAACTTTCACTATAATTTTTAGCACAAAATAAGTTCATAAAAATTTATAAAAAAATAGAAAATTATACTGAAAATTAATTAAAACTACTAGGAAGACTTCCTGGAAGTTGTCTAGAGTTACCCTACTGAGACTTAGTACACCCCACACCCAATTCCTTGACCGATGGTGCATTTTTACTCCTTTAGATGTTGTTGAAAATTTTGAGATAGAGAAGCTTTGTAAGCAATACTTCATTCTCTGAGGTTTTAGAAATCTCAAAAATAAACTAGGTTTTGTAGAAATCCTATGGGAACAAATTAGGGCTGAATCTGTGATTTGATCTCTCTCTAGGCTGGGCTTCTCCCTATTTTCTTTAAAATACAGCAAACCTTTGATTTAGGGTTTCTCTATAGTCCCACCTATATTTTTATTTAAGACAAAATATAGAGGAAAGAGAGGGTGGCGTGCCTCCTTATGGGTAAAGAGAGGGGGGCATGTCATTTCACGTTTCTTGAAGAGAGAAGAAAATTCTGGCGTGGAGAAAATCGAGACTTTGGGGTGTGAGAGAGAGAGAGAGGATCTAGTTTAGGGAGAGACAAAAGATCTTGTAATGAGAGAGAGGGTCCAAACTAAATCTTTATGTAAAAAGAAATCTATATCCCAATTAAAATAGGTTTCTTTTTAAACATTGTCTTATCCAATTTCTAGCTAGACCTTTAGGATAAATTGAAAATCTGTGGGGTGAGAGAGATTTAGTCGGAGCCATCTATCCCAAAAATGAGCCATCATGATTTTGGGTGGAAAGATAAGAACGTTATCCTTTTAGACTTTGACCTAAGTCCCACTCCTCTTTCAAATTGAAATGTAATCAATCTCTATCATAGATCTCCCATAAGGATAGGACACGAAATCTAATTTGTAATAAAAAGATTTCTCCTATAATCTTAAGTAGTTTAAAAAATGTAAACTATATCATGAAAGTGCAGTGTGCCCAAAATAGTGGTGTGCACCCCCCCCCCCCCAACATTTTTTGCATAAAAAAAAAATGCCTTCCTAAGGGGTAATGTGGGCCCCACATGGGTGGCATACATATGTGGGAGCTGGATCCTTAGTTCCCACATGTGCTATGTCAAGTTCTAAAAAAATTTCAGAAATACCCTTTTAATGAAAATTTAAGTTGAAATAATATTTAAAAAAATATAAAAAATATTTAAAAATTATAAAAGCATTTTTAATGCCAAAATAAAATATACTAGGAATGGACTGGTACCAATGGGTCAAAATAAGTGACAATAAGGGCACTCCACTCTCATCAGAAACCATGATCCCATACTGTTTTTTTTATCCAACCCAACAAAGATTCATGACCCACAGTCTCAAAATAGGGGCTCATGATTGGCTTGTCAAAGTTGGACAATAAACAGTAGGGCCACGATCCTAGAAAGTGGATTTCAGTTTTCCCTTTAAGAGCAAGTCTAGCACTTGTCACCACAAAGCAGAGGGGGCTCTCTGTATTACATGTACTCGTGTCCCTCTATAGGACTGCTTATCAGTAATGCGGCTATCATGTGTACATGTATGTGGAAGTCTGGTGATAGTTTGGCCCTTGCTCTCACAGGCCTACAATCATAAACAAGAGATCACACAGTTCTCGTGGCCTAGAAACATGCTCCCTGGGCATCTCTCCAACTTCAACAAGGGATGACCCACTTCAAATCCTTTTCAGTAGGGCCATATGCTCAGGGCCATGGGTTTTGGATATGACCAGGGCCATAAAGCGTTCAACCCTTGGTCAGTCAACTCACACTCACACTCCCACTGAAGTGCATATTCCACTATGAAATAGCATTTTTACAAGCTTTTTGGGCTTTTAAGGCCACAAAACCCAACAATGAGAGAAGCCTATAAACCCTCGATACACCACTGCAAGTCAAAGATTCAGTGTCCCCAGAGAGCACCCATGGCTTAAGAGGGGCATCTTTGTCCTTACGGCGGCTATATTACCATAACTTATTCCACATCCACGATAGTAGTCGAGTTGGCTTTTGTTCCAATCATGAGCCCACCACTTGAAGGACAGTTATCGAAATGAGGGGAATCCAATTTAAGCAGTACCCAATGTTAGAATATCCCGTGCTAATAAATTATTTTTAAGTAAACCATTTTAGAAGTGTCATTTTAGTATAAGAGATTTTTGTTGAGTCAAAGTATATTGAAGGAATGACATGTATGAATGGAGAAAATTTAATTTTCTCTAAGGACCATTCGGCTATCAACTTAGGAGATTGGAGACTATCTAAAGAAGCAATTTATTTTCTCCATTGGTACTCCTTTATTCATAAAATAGGAGGTTTAGTTTGTGTTTGATTTTTCATCCCACCTTCTACTTTTAGATTGAGGCTTTCTGAGATAGCTCTTCTCAGTTATGTAGTTATCCAATACTTTGTTGGGTGGTTTTGGGAGTCAGAGGAAAATGGCAACTTTCTTTTAACTCATCCTTGGAGGTTGATATATAGCATGTTTTGCCAGATGCCCATGAGGACTGCATTGTGGATCTATTTGATGTCGTTAAAATATCCATATTCGCCTAGGCTACTGTTCTTGGGAGGCTATTGGTAGACAGCCTTGTTTAGAGATGTGGTTTTTTTTTCTTTTGATGAGTAGTTTTTCGTTTTTTTCTTTTTCTTTTCTTTCCTTTTACTGTATAAAGATTTACACCATGGTTGTCAAAATTGGTGTTTGGGTACAAAATTCTTGCTTGATGAAGGTAACTAATCAAACATTTCAATTTTCAAATGACCAGCAAATGTTGTATTGAGGTTCATTATCTAGGCAGTGTGTGTATCAATGTTTAAGGACTCGGCTGAGTGGACTCAGACTCGACCGAGTAACTCAAACTCTACTCCTTCCCTACTCAGGTTCTCCATTTTTATATATTTTCCCCTTTTTAGAATTTTGTGAATTATTTCCTCCTAGAAATAATTTTTCTAAATTCCATATATTTTTATTTATTCATCATTTTAAAACTTTTAGTGCTCTTTATGGTTTTTATATTTTTTATTTTTTAGATTTTTTTGTTTTTTTAAATTTATAGCCTTATTAGGCATTAAGACTACTTGGGCGAGTCCACTCAGACGCGTCCGGGTAACTTGGCTTGGCCGAGGGCCGAGCTGAGTTTTAGAATATTTGTGTGTAATTTTTTTGTTTGTCTCCTTCCTAGAATGGTTGAAGCAGACGGACATGTTTGCACTTAACTCTTCAATCCTTGCGAGTCATTAGTGAAAAATCATTGTTGGTATTGGCAGAGTCACCTTCTGTTATGAGATGTCTCATTACTGGTTGATATGGTCTATAAGAAATCAGCAAAGCTTTCACCCCTGCTTCATTCACGTTGCAAATGCTTGACAGTATAAAAGGGGCTAGAGTGTAAGAATTGTTACACCCTGGCTGTCTTGAACTATTCCCCTTATTCCTGCTCGCCTAAGTTGCCCATGGGGCTTCCATTAAAATTATGGTTGAAAACCCCATTGGCAGTGGGTTCCATGCTCCAATTCTTTTCTCATTGTGTCCTGCTGCATTCAAGGCGTGGGATGTTTTCAACGTCTTGATGTTTCCAATTCCTTGAGTAGGGAGCCATAACAATAGTAGACATCTATTTTAGGATCACTTTATTGCACTGTGAGTTTGGTTGAGCTTAGAGCATTGCTATAAATTCCACCTTGCACTTTTCATGACTTTTCTAATGGGCTGGTGACTTAGAAGCAAGTCTCCACAGGTCAGGTCCAGGGTAGGCCAACCCTATCCTGGTTTGCTCAAATGACTGACCCAGACCTAGTACTTACGTGGATGGGTCCAGATCTGCCTGACCTGTACCCAACTCGAGACTGGTTTGGTCAATCCAACGATGTACGTGTTTGGTCAATCTTCCCAACCTGGATCCAATCCAGATGGCATGAAATGTAGAAAGAATTCAAAGTAAGAGAGAGAGAGAGAAACAGAGAGAGAGAGAGAGAGGGAGACAGACGGGGATCAACTGTTCTATTCTTCGATATCAAAATATTTATTGTTTACCACAAATCCTATAATGATATAAACATTGTAGGCCTGTGAGAATCACTGGTGAGGTCCTTGTAAGCACCTCAACATCCTACAACAAACATCAGAAATTCAAGCGATTATATGCAACAATTTTTGGATCAAAATGAGCTGGAAACTATTCCAACAAAGTGGGCAATTGAATAAGCTTTTCAGCACTTCAAACGTAAGCCTGAATTGGAGTAAAGGTTTTGAAGTTATGGCTAAAACATTTTCCAAGGAAGAAGTTACAGCCAGAACATCTTCCTGAAATCACTTGTGTTTCACAGCACACTATACATCTGTTATAAAAATTTTGTTCTGCCGCACAATCCAGTGTCCTGCCATGAAAATTTTGGTCTGCTGAGATTTTAAGATTCTTTGTGATGGATATTGTAGTGCGACACGTGGCACCACCATGACCAGATGCCTAGAGTGGCACCTCATTTCCAGTTTACAAAGGGCAAACAGGGTTCATATCAGACTCTCAGCCCTCAAAATCTGCTGTGACACCCTGATCCCCTCAACAGAGGTTGCTGTGTCGTCCGTTATTCTGGATGTTCTGCTACAAAATATGAATTGTATAAATTATCATAAAATGAGAATATATAAAATATGAGATGGGTATTTCTTCAGTTCTCTATCTTCTCTCTCTAGGTGGCATGCCACCCCCATAAGGACTTAGGGGTGGCGTGCACCACCTTATAAGATTGAAAGGTAGGGACCACACCCAGCCCTAGATTAGATTTAAGGGGAGGTGCCGTACAATTTGTGAGGTCCAAGAAACCCTAATTATGTTTCCCCTAATAAAACCCTAGTTTGTGAGGTATTGCCTAAAGAAGTTTCTCGGCTCAGAAAATTAAGCAAGGTCAATAGGATTAGAGCAAGTCATCGCTCAGGGAATCGGGTGTGGGGCATACCAAGTCCTAAGAGGTTAGCCCTAGGCAAATTCTAGTAAATCTTCCCGATTATTTGCTTTTATTTTTTATTCGTCTTTGCTTGTGTATTTGAATTTCCAAGAACATGATTTGTACTAAAATTATTAGTGAAAGCTTGTTTTTTATTCTTCGATTATCTATTCTATTTGGCAATAAACTGAAAACAAAGATCCTAGGTTATATTTAGGGTTATATTTCTTGTTTACAGCCATGTATTATGGCACTTGTAAGAGGAATTCAGATTCATAAATAAAAGAAAAAGAGAAAATTTTATAATTAACTCCCTTGAATTCCACATAACCACTTCTGTCAAGCCTATCAGTTTTGGCTCTAATGCCTTACAACTAAATTTCAAGGTAAACTACTGTATTATATCCAAGTAGGAAAACTGCAAATTTTTGTTCCCCTTGCTCTATGTGTAATAGGACCTTGCATGCACATTTATTATTTCTTTAAATCTGCTTTTATGATCAACAATTAAAAATTGGACCGTCTCTATTCAATAGGAGGTTCTTATTTTATTAAATCACATGCATAATGTGTTTGATTTTGTATTTCTACATACATGCAATCATAGGTAGAGCTTAAATTTTACCTCTAACAATTCTTCTCTCTCTCTCTCTCTCTCTCTCTGTGCGTGTGTGTGTGTGCGTGTGCGTGTGTGTTTTATGGAACTTTCTAAGTTTTCAGGAAGATTCTCCTCTTTGTGTGTGTGTTATGGAGCTGTCTAAGTTTTCCAGAGAATGACTATTACATTCTCTCAACTTGCTAACAAATAAATAATACTTTTAGTGTTTGATTACCCTAGAGTAGTGAATTTTTTATGTAAATTAGTTGAAATATGATAAAATATTATGGGCGTGGTTTGCATAAGGTGCCAACCTTAAACAATCAAAGTAAGGTGCACCTCTAAATCTGGCTCAAAGATGCAGATCTAGTTCCGGAAACCCTTCTGTTAGCCCTAAAATCTATTTTCACCCTTAACCATGAAATTTAGAGCTCAAAAAATAGTGTAAATCGAGGAAATCTATAGACACTTAAAAATTTGGAAAATGGATGGTCTAGATAATGTCTCACAAGATGGATTATTTTTTGGACTTGAAATCTTTTTCTTTTCATGTCCATGCATCTCAAAGTCGAGATGATCAATTGTAAGGCTTTTCGATGTTGGAACAATCTTTTTGAGTGGATTTTTGAGGTGCGCCTTATTTCTACAGTATAAGGTTGACACCTTATATAAACGTTTTCTAAATATTATTTATGATACTCCACTTTGGATAAAAAGGGTAACGTCTTTTGGGGTAAGCTTAGAAAAATTGAAGATAGAGAGAGAAGGGGGGAGAGAGAGAAACAAAGAGCAAAAGGAGAGAAACGAAAGGAAATCCATGGTTGGATTCATTGGTGTTTTACCATTGAAGAGAGAAAGAAAGTAGAAAATGAAGAGATACAGAAAGTTAAGAGAGGAAAAGAGTCTTAAAAACCGTTTTACATTTAGCAACTTATTAGTTTACACTGAGAACTTCAATTTTGTATTATAAAATATTTGTATGTGCATGAAGTGCTTATCTTAAAAGTGTTTGTCAAACATTTCATGCTTTTGATAGAGCACAAGAATCCAAACAAATAATAGAACTATGAATCTCTTTTTAATAATAACTTTTTAGCAGTATATTATTTTTTCTTGTTAAAATAGTGTGTGAGTTAATAGGTGAATGGTGAACGCATGTTCTATTTGACCCACCCCCGACCCAAAGTTGGCAGGTCGGTGCTAGGTCCAATCGACTTGGATCTAGCTGATTCTAGGTTTAGATCTAACTGAGACCTTGCCAAATCAGGTCTAGGACAAGATTGAGCCCACATGTTTGCAGCCTAGTAATTTCCATGTAAAAGTTCTCTCCTTCATTTCTGAATAAAGAAAATCCATTGTTATAGTTATTCATTTACAAGCTGAGACCTAAAAACTCTTACCCCCATTGGACTGCCTATACATCTGTTTCATGTGATCAAACTTCTTTTGTTTGTTTTTGGATTGGGGGGGGGGGTGTAAATCAGTGGGGAAGAGGTCCTCTGCTTGTTTCTCCACTCACCATCAAATTTATGAAGAGTTGGCCTTGTATAGAGGGAAATTGCACACATCATAATCAAGAGACAAACAGAGGAAATCAGGTGGGCGGCTCTCCAAAAGTCACGGACTCCAAAGTGACTCTTTTCCTTGCCAAAGTTTATGTTACCTGGTTGCCCTCTATATAGATGTGCACCAATTCCACTTGATCTAATCTTCAGAACTCTAAGCATGCTAATGAGTAAGGTTTTTTAACACCATTGCAGTTCAGACTTTTTGTTGATACATGACACTAAGAATCACTCTCTAGAGTGAATGCCTCAGCCATATTATTGTTTTCCAGATCCAACGGGCATAAAAAAGCAAGCCAGATCCAACTATGTAATTACAATTTTATCTCTACCAGATGTTGTAAGAATTACGTTATGCACATTACATATGACAATTTAATTTTGAGTAAAAAAGTACTTCATGTTTATGGGACCTTTACATATCATATGACAGTGGGAATAAAGTCGTTTAGTCTTTTTTCATATGTAAGTGTACCCACTGATCGATACAAGTAATTTTATTTGTCAATTTTTTTGAAATTCTTGAGAACCATCAGTTTCTAATTATCAACTTAATACTATAATTCACGTGCTAACTATTACTTGATCCTTCTTTTCAACAGGTGACTGCAGTTGGCATGGAAAGTTTTCTAGTTGGGAGAGACCTCAATGGATGTGCTTTTGTCTATGGTTCATTGAGTTTCTTGGACAAAATCTCATGTGGAATTGCTTTATATACTTTGGAACTTTATCATGGTATGTTCATCATCATCATTTCGCCCTTCAGTACAGTTTTGTCCAATTTTGTGCGCACACACATCCATGAAATAAAAATTATACAGCTGTATGAAAAAGGTGTCTTCATCAATCATTGGCTTTGTTGCACATTAAAGTGGAGCATATTTCAATAAGACATGGCATCTCAAAACTCATAACTTTCCTTGGGCACTGAGATTCAGTTTAAAGTGGAAAGGTCAAAATCTCATTAATGGGAAAGCTGCACCACGCATTATGTGAAGAATGCAATAAATATTTTTTAATGATTACGATAACTATGAAGCATTTATTACGCTTTTCATGTTTATATTTGCTTTGTTTAGTGCCTAGTTTCGGTAAGCTTCAATGAAAAGCTCCATGTAGAATACTAGACTTGGATCAGAGAGACAAATCTCTGTTTTGGATATCCTATATCTCTTGATGTGAAGTAGTAGTTTGACAAGATATTAATATGAGGCCCTGCAAAAATTGCTATCTATGTATGCGTGCGCATGCATGTGTGTGTGTGTGTGTGTGTGTGTGTATCGGAGGGGAGGTGGCTTAACTTAGCTACTGCACCCTCCATTTCCCTTTGTGTTGTTTTTTATTTGGAACTGTTTTACATGACTAAATTTACTGAAATGCCGTTATGTATTATGTAACATTTACCAAGACTCCCTGTGCCTTTGCATTCCTTCCCTCACCTTGGCTTGTTTCCGCCTGAACTCTCTCTCTCTCTNTCTTCTCTCTATCTCTATTATATATATATATATATATATATATATATATATACTATACTACGTACGTACGTACGTACGTACGTACGTACGT